TAGTCAGGCTAAAGGGCCAGATTTCACTTCCAGCATCCGTAAAGAGGATTCTGCCAAAATATTTCTGAAAGAGGAGGAACACGTGCTATAATTTGTCAGTGATGACATACTAAATTTTCATTTACGTTCAGATCATGTTTACTTTACAGTAACTATTTGCACGTACTCGTTTTTAATCAACTTAAAATGTTATGTTTATTTGCAAAACCGTTATTAAATGCTAACATACGGTTGCAGATTGTCATGAAGGATTCAACATGGGCATAAGGCAGAGGGCAATTTACACTATTCAACCGATATCTGATGGAACGCCTTTCCAAGTCTTCTGTAGCATGAAGTACGAGGGACAAACTGTTGTTCAGATTCAGAAGTTGGACACGCAAAGCATCGATTTCAACAGGAACTGGCAGGAGTACAAAAAAGGATTCGGGTCTCTGACTGGAGACTACTGGTTAGGTTTGGAAAAGATTAAGGAAATAACTGATAAATCTCGAAATGGACTAGCAATTGTGTTCCGATACGATAATAAAACGCCAAACTGGAGGCGGATCAATTGCCACAGTGTCTCACTAACAAATGAATTCGATGGCTTCAGGCTGAATTTTACTCACACTTCAAGCCCGACTAACAATTTTCTCCAAGACATCATGACGGAACTGAGAGGAGCCAAGTTCAGCACCTTCGATAGAGACAATGATGAAAACACTACAGGAAGCTGCTCTGAGAAATATCACTCTGGTTGGTGGTTCAAAAATTGCACCTTGGGTAATCCTAACGGTAAAATTGAACCATCGGATCCTCATGCAGTCTTCTGGCATGGTGATTCCAGATCTGTGGCACAGACGAGGATGTTCCTATATCGAATTTGAATTCCCTTTATGTCGAGCAATATTCTAGCTTCTTAAGCCTGGCGTGTCCATATTTCACAATTTTTCAGGTACTGTAAAGCATACTCTTTTACAAAGATTTCAGAGAGCGACATCTGAAACGTGCTCAAAAGAATTTTGGCCAGATGAGGTTAAGATCACAGAACGACTCAGTAAAGCTCCCAAAAGCTGTGACGAAAGAAACGTAGAAGACATATCCAAATTAAACAAGAATGATGTTCCATACAGTTGTCATTTATCCTGAGCCAAATTACAAACTGGTATAAAAACAAGAGCGCAAGAGCAAGCTTGAAGATCTTCATATCCGTCAAACATGATGTAAATGCTGCTCTGATAAGTGCTTTGCTAAAATACATTTTGGACAACGTTAAGCAAAATATGTGGAACCCCCTCAAGAACTGAAAGTGATAATTCTATTTGTCTTGCAAATTAGTTTGGATCGTTCTTCAAGGACAACATACTGGGAATTAGGAACAATCTAAATGAGAAAGACATGATCTTGATGATTCAGTATTTTGCTTAGGTGTGGAAATATTTTTTGGAGAGATAGTAACTTCCGTTATGACTTGTTGAAACGTGTCTCAGACACTATCAAGAATGCTCATTCTAAGACACTTGTCCTTGACCCGGTTCCTCCAAGGCCACTATGAATCATATAACACCTGCTCTGTTGGGGATCATCGCCGTTTCCGTCGCATCTGGCAAGTTTGCCAGAGAGCTTTTGTCATGTCACTACTAAACGTGGGGCTGGTTCCAGGTAACCTAACATCTCCCTGACATTGTATTTACGTTTCAGTGTCGTGAAGGATAATAGCATCATAGTTACAGCAACATCTTAAGCAAAACAATCTTGCTGAAACATTCATTCTGCTTAGACGGCACATGTTAAGGTCCAATAGATCTACACTTCTTCTCCGACTGAATCTGTCAACCACTTGTGACACTGTTTCTACACAGACTCAGAGTATGAATTTGCATTCATGGCACAGCTCTTCAGTAATAATATCATTGGAGATACAGAAGGATGAATGAGTGAGTGAGTGAGTGAGTTTAGTTTTACTCCGTATTCAGCAATATTCCAGCTATTGGCGGCGGTACGGTAGGATGACACAGATCTGTAACGCGTGAAACGAATATTTTGTAACAATGTAAAGTTTGGGGGATCAGTTAAATTATCTATATTATTATTATCATTATCATTTTCATTGTCTATTTGACAACCGGTAGGCTAGGAGGCAAACCTTGCTTATATTCACAAACTGATCATGAATCACTGTATTTCTACATTTCCCCTATCTGTACCTTATGTGTGAAGTTGTTAGTGTATTCCCTGTTCGTTTCTGTTCACTATGACTATATCATTTTGTTTGTATATATTTGCTGGTATTATCACATCACATCACATCTGCTGTCAATCGCTCTTCAATGTGCTTCGCCGGGTGACCCTAGAGGATCAAAAACGTTATGTGTGCTCTGTACTCAAGCTTATCCATTTCTGCTGTTTCAATAAGGTACATGTAATTAGATGTCACGTGACGACATGTGCAGGTCAATATTACGTTTATGTGAACGATATATCAAACAGTTATTTTTATCATGCACATAGAAGTATTTTAGGCTAAACACGTTGTGACAGCACCTCGAATATTGAGTACATGCACTTATTGTTGAGTATATGTATAAACATGCACATGTATGTCAAATATTTTTTTATCAACACATCCAAAACGTAAACATTGTTATATGGTATTAACGTGTAACATGGATATTATATATTTCATCAGAAACCGATATTGACTCTTCTAATATTTACATTCAATATCACAGGGTATAGTTTTGAATATGTGCAGAAGACCTGCATGAGTTTGGTTGAAAGCTGCAGTAGCCATTGTCACAGTTATATCATGACATATGATGCAACTCCAGGATCTGTGTGGAGGTGTCGACCCCCACGGGTAGTGTTGTCGAACCTACGATCATAGGGTCAAACACGCGGGTTTGAACTGTATTCCTGTGTGATAGACGAATTAACATGTGATACAAAGGTTTCTGTTTTCCGATAATTTGAGCTTATGTACTATCTGATAAGTGAATAAATATGCTACACCTCAGAACGTTTTATGTTGTCTTTATTTGTGTAGACCACTACAGACTGTCTGTTTTGTCATATTTACTTGGGACAAGTTTTGCAGTAAAGGCTATTGTTTGGCTACATAAATGAACCTGGAAGTATTAGGACCAATTGTTGAAATATCCACAATCATTTTAGCCTTTACTAAAGAGTTCGTGTGTGCTTTGTCATGGACTCATGGTAGAATGGAAATTAAACAAGTATGTTTTCAGTTTCGAACTTGCCAAATTTACCGATATCGAATCTGGGTTCTAAAACCCCAATTTGAAAACACAACATTATCCCTAAATCAGGTATCCATTAGAACGAAAAGCGACAGCTGAGCCTTTCCGAAATGGACATATGACCCAAACAAGGTGACTTAAAATATGTTTCTCCTTACAAACCTGTTTATCCCATAGACTAGTGATCGAAGGACCGTGGGGACAGAACCACTGCACGGCCCCTTATCAGTTTCGTACCGATTGTAGCCATTGATCTAAAATTTACAGATATTAAAAAACGCTGGGAGATAATAATATCCTTTGAAGGAGGTTGGCTTACCTGTCCTATCTAAAGGACTGTGTTTATCTAGTGTGGCCCACACTACGTTGTCTTAAAAAATGGCTTATTCAAATGTGTACTGATGACACAAGCGAGCGTAGCCAACATTTGGTTTAATTGATAAAAAATATTTTTTACTATCCAAGTCCAGTATGACCTAAGAGCAAGCTACATGAAGGCTGATATTCAGAAGGGTCAATGTATCTGAAATCAGTTATTTTAACGCCGTTCAGACCCACGGTCTCGTTTTACATCTTGTTGTGATAGGCTGAGTTGTGGAATAGTGTTTGAACAATATATTTGTTTCATGGACATGTTTGACCAGATAATCTGCGCTTTGGTTTTACAAATGAACAAGTCTTGAAGCCGTGACAGTAGCGTGTGACTTGGTCATATTAATGCAGTAACCAATCACAGTCTTCCCCATTTGTGTATACTGTTCTAATTCGTCTTGTATTATGTATACTACCTGAGATTGATTCGTATCCAAATTTTAACAAAGACAGAAAACTCAAAACGTGATCTTTTAATGTTTGTTTTACCTTGTAACGGAAGGCATGAAGCTGCTTGTTGTACACATTTTAAAACAGTTAAACACCCACATAAATTAAGCCATTGCTCAACCATTTCTACTTCTGTCTATTCATGTTTGTCTCCCCCTTCTTTTGCCCAGGATTCAATATCAAGATACCATAGCATCATAATCAACGATTATGTATCAGACGTTCAAAACAGGACAGCTCTGTTGGGTTGTCAGGTCATCAAAGGTTGTCACAGAAACGTTATCACTATTTTGTATTAATGTTGCATATTTTTAGATTATGTAATTCTACAACCTCTCTTAACCCAGTGCCACTTTGATGGCGTTTGAAAAGGCAGAATTATCCTCGACAAGTATAGGTGTCAATGACGGATTTTAACCTAAGCGTTTTATACTAGCACATTTCAATGATCTATTTTGGTTCATATACCGTGGCATTAACACAACCCAACTGATGTTCATAGTAGAAGTTCCTCAAAGAGTTAACATTTCGTGTGGTCTATAATCTCTGTATCTCACCTGTATTATGTGCTGTCTATCAGAAATGTATCTTTTCTTCATTAGATTTACTGTGTGCTATTGCAAAACTTCTTTTCTTAATTCTCCACTTGAGAATATCAATGACACAGTTCCAGGCTATCGAATACTGATTGCAAAACTTGATTAAAATCGATGGATGTCGTTTGTTGGTGGTGCAGATTTCTCGTCACTTCTTGGTTAGTTTTCTTCCTGACATAGTTTAGAAATTCTATAGTTACTATTTACCAGTCTTCTTAATAGACACGATACATTAAAATGGTCATTACAGTGTTTGTGGGCTGGTTGTTATACAGAAGGTGACGTAATATCGATCATGTAAACACAGCCTCGGTTTGAAGCGTGATGGTTTAAAATGGACTTGTGTGACAGGTGTACATGTTGTGTGGGGGTCAGTCGCCAGCAGCATGGACGTGGGAATCCTACTCGCGGCTTTATCATCGATATGCACGGCAACAGCTTCGATAAGCGAGACGAAGTTTGTTAAGCGGTTTTCTCAAACTAACCCTCCAGTGTTTCAGGACAAATCGTTTGCGTTTAGCTGCGTTGGGAGATGCGCCTCTTCAAGCACCTGTCGAGCCACCAATGTTCTTTTTGCAGACAAGAAATGCTACTACTATACATTGGAAGAACTAGAACGTATGACTGACTTCAACGACGTCCTGTATCAGAAGGTCTTGAGTAACGTGGAGCAGACGACAGAGGTAAAGTATAACTAGTCATATGTAACATTTCCTCGCAACAGGAATTCATTCCTCCGTGCTACCGAAATTTACAAATTATGGCCTTGCAGTCCACTTCTGCTTACGGGATTACTATCCAGTATTCAACCGCTTTCGTCACCCGAAAACCAGAACGCTCTAAGTCCCCGAAACCTAGCTTCGAGCTAAATGGCCTTATAAAAAACATTACATGTCAATGAATTTGTTCAAAATAGCCTTAATAACAAAATATCGATTGGAGATGGAACAATTATCTGACTTCAACAGCAATTTTGTTTATTGTTTGGACTCGATTATTTACAGACCACCGCCCTATAGCTGGAGTACGGCGTTCAATAACAACAATAACCAGTTTAGCTTACTGACCAGACATAATAACAAAGCATCAATTTTTAACACCTCATCGTGATAACAGACATATTTAGCTCAACTAGAAAATGCCTTAACCTGAAAATAAAGTTCACTCTAGATGAGATAATTGGATTTCTTAGTCTTGCGTATTCCTATACTCTGCAGAGTTTTTCATAGCCTGGAAGAGTCATAACGGACGTTCCCATACTGTATCGAAGAATTTAATGATTGTAGGTAAAGGACACGTCATGTCTGAAATGTATGTTTCAAAATGTATCTCGAGGCACCTAGACATCACAACTGTAAACAGATCTCTTTTCTCAAAATGAAACAGATAGTATTTGACGCCAAAGATATGCTTGCCCTGAGGTACCGGACATCTATCGAAGAAAATACTTGGCTTGTACATGTATTATTTCTTCAGCTTGAGTGCAACAGATCCTGCAGCCAATACAACATTTCAAAGCATAAATTATACAAATAAATAAGAATGATAATGCAAGTTTTTTATAACGCGCTTTTTCCAGGCTAGATATCCTGCTCAAGGAGCACAATCTGATCATTATTACCCCAAGCTGCCTAATAGGCGCCAGAAGGCGCCAGAAGGTTAATAGTCTCACTTATTTCACCGGGTACCCATTTTCTGCTGGGTGAACAGAGACAAGTTTGAACAAACTCACTTGCCTAAGGTGAGAAAACATGTAGCACATGTGCTTCGTTGTGAGACAGGACTAAAGTCCTAGAAACTCTCAGAAGTCAAGCTGTCACACATGGTCACTCATTCAGGGATTCCCCGCGCCCAACGTTGCTTAACTTCAACTGATTGTGACCAGAGTCTATGCACAGGACAACACGCCACCCCATAAGGTCAGTGTTAAAGATGGACTTATTGATGATGTCCTGGTCAAGGATACAGCTCGGTGCTTTTAATAAGTGCGTTAAGAATTGATGTGATATGATATTATTCCTTGTCATTAAGATAAACTGATTAAATCAATAGATGTATGCAGAGACCATATATTATTATGGCATGTATGATACTCTAAAGATACAGTTTGATGTAAATTATACTCATATCATACAATCTCTGTTATTGACAGTGTTGACTCAGGACTGATAAAGACATCAATGCAATTATTTTTTTTCAACAGACGTCGTGTGTCATGATACAAAGCAAGAATAACAGTATTTACAGACCCAGAGCGTGTGTGTGTATACATATATACATATATATTCAGAGACTAAGCGTTAGTCTATCTGCCTATGCAGCAAACATATCTGAGGCTGAACATCTGTTGACCAGTGTTCCGGGTTTACAATTGGTTCCACCACAGTATTACCTTACCTATCGAGTGTGAGTGATTAAGTTCAGTATAATGCAAACAGATACAATACTTAAGTCAAGGCGGTGGGGTAGCCTAATGGTTAAAGCGTTGGCTCGTCACGCCGAAGGCCCGGTTTCGATTCCCCACATGGGCACAATGTGTTAAGCCCATTTCTGGTGTCCCCCGCCGTGATATTGCTGGAATATTGCTAAAAGCGGCGTAAAACTAAACTCAGTGAGTCAGTGAGTGAGTGTTAAAGATGGACTGTGTGGTTTAGTCTCACAATCTGAAATACTGAATCTATGGCCAAGAATGCTTGATTGTACCAAGTATGACCGTTGTTATTGGTGATGTCCTGGTCAAGGATACAGTTCGGGGCTTTTAAAAAGTGAGTTAAGAATTGATGTGATATGATATTATTCCTTGTCATTAAGATAAACTGATTAAATCAATAGATGTATGCAGAGACCATATATTATTATATGGTCTCTGATGTATGATACTCTTAAGATACAGTTTGATGTTACTTCATATCATACAATCCCTGTTATTGACAGTGTTGACTCAGGACTGATAAAGACATCAATGCAATTATTTTTCAACAGACTTCGTGTGTCATGATACAAAGCAAGAATAACAGTATTTACTCAGACCCAGAGCGTGTGTGTGTGTATACATATATACATATATATTCAGAGACTAAGCGTAAGTCTATCTGCCTATGCAGCAAACATATCTGAGGCTGAACATCTGTTGGCCAGTGTTCCGGGTTACAATTGTTTCCACCACAGTATTACCTTACCTATCGAGTGTGAGTGATTAGTTCAGTATAATGCAAACAGATACAATACTAAAGTCAACGTGCTGCGAAAGGTAAACCGTTCGTGACTGTCAAACCTGGCAACAGTATTGTTATCAGATCATAAAAGGGCCTACATTTTAATTCCAACCCACACTCGTGATGGACCTTTGCGTCACATAAGACAATGGACCGCATGCGCTCCTATAGTGTTCCTGTTTGGTTTAAGTTGTCCAGGTATTCATGTATAATGGCTATGCATGTGTATTGCAGATGTATCCTCCAGTTCCTGAGTGTCAGAATGGAGGCGAGTGGTCAGATTCCACTAAAACGTCCTGTGATTGTCCCGGCAGCTTCACTGGAACATATTGCGAACGCTACTGGGATGGTATGTACCCAAATAATCCACAGTTTGTTCTTGTCAAATTCATCACAGTAATGTTACACTTTGGTGCATTCACGTATATGAATGTACATGTATAAATGGCGGTAGGGTAGCCTAGTTGCTAAACGTTCGCTCGTCACACCGAAAACCCGGGTACGAGTCCCTTGCATGGGAACAATGTGTGAAGCCCATTTCTGGCGACGCCAGTCGTGATATTGCTGGAATATTGCTAAAAGCAGCGTAAAACTAAACTCACTCACTCAGAAAAAGTCTGAAATAAGGCGTCTTTACGTGTTAATATGCTCTTGTTGGCAAGCATGGATTTGATGATCTCAACGGATTTCTGTAACAAACTCCTCAAAATAACTGAAGCAGACCAGATCCTGAGTTACGATGTTGTGGACCTCTTCACAAGTGTCCCCATAGAAGAAACTCTCCAAATCCTCCGCCAACGCATCTCTGAATTAGAAACTCCCCTTGACACCAACCTCACCACTGACTCCATCATTGCCCTCACCTCCACTTACTTCACCTGGGGAGACGACTACTATGAACAAATCCACGGCCTGCCCATGGGCTCCCCTCTGTCCCCAATACTCACAGAAATCTACATGACCTCCTTCGAACAGCAAGCACTCAGCACCTCAACCATCAAACCAACCTGCTGGTACAGGAAGGTCGATGACACGTTTGTCATCCTTCGGCAAGACCAAGACCCAGCAGCCCTCCTGCAACACCTCAACCAACAGCACCCCCGGGTCCAATTCACCTTAGAAACAGAATCCAGTGGTCAACTTCCCTTTCTAGATGTCCTTGTAACCAGAACTCCAGCCAACAAGATCCGTACCAGTGTCTATAGAAAGCCAACCCACTCCGACCAATACATTCATTTTGACTCCAACCACCCTTTGAGAACCAAACTGGCATTATCTCCACCCTCACCAGAAGAGCCATCAACCTTTCCTCCACCAGTCCCACTACAGAAATACAGCACCTCCGCCATGTTTTCACCAAGTTCAACCACTACCCGTCGAAACTAGTCGATAAAATTATCAGCACCACACTCCACCCAACAAGAAAACCGGCCTCCAACAAACCTGAACCAGCACCTATTCGTATCTCCCTCCCCTTCATAGGGAAAGCCTCTCACCACATCAGCCGTCTCCTCAAGCGAGAAGCAGGCATCGAAACCTACTTTACCAGCTCTACACCACTAAAAACCCTACTGAAAGCGAATGGCAGGAACAACCCTACTGAAAGCGAATGGCAGGAACACCTCTAAACGACAACATCAACCCAAAGGTGTTGTCTATAAAATCAACTGTGACTGTGGCGAGGCCTATGTAGGCGAAACCTCCCGGCCCATAAATATCCGAATCAAAGAACACTTATCATCTACCACTAAATCTGATAGAAAATCGGCATTATCAGACCACATCATCAACTGCCCCAATCACAACATAATTTGGGACAATGTGGACATATTATCCAAAAACCACCAGGACTTCACCAAAAGGAAACTTGCAGAAGCAGTTCAAATCCGGAGACACAAGCCCTCAATCAACAGAGACCAGGGATATCTCATCCCTTCTGCATACAATGATCTCATAAAAACAACAGATTAGAGCACCTCAGCCATCATTGTTAATTAATCTCATCAGCATGTATATTTTGTTTTTTACATCCACCACCATTGGCTTCCTATTGTCACTACATTATTGCCACCGTGCCTTGTTGTTATTGTTAATCCCCCTCATTCAGTCCTACATGTTGTTATTACTTAATCCCTGTTCATGTATATAAGCCTGTTCTGTGCTGTAGTACTTCACTCTTGCTTGACAACGGTATAAGAATCCATACCGAAACGTCGCATCATATATAATAAAGAAGTTGTTATCCATAAATATTCTTACTTTCTTATGGATTTGATACAATTAAAGTATGAACGCATGATGAAACATATTGTTCTATTGAGTGATTGGTCATGGTTTAACGCCACTGTTTATAGTATTCCAGTTATGCACGAAAGCTTCATATGGGAAGAACGTCTAACATAATACCCTTTCCAGTTTCCAGTATACGTTTATCACGTGTATGGTCATGGCAAACCTGAATACATCGTACTAAGGGTTGAACAATGCAAATCAACCCATTTCACATGAGAGCTTCCTTGAGGATACTTGGTCATCACACTTTCTCAGTAAAGTACCGATCCTGGAACTTTTGTTGAATTCCATCCAAGATTCGAACCCTCTCATCAGACTCAGACTCTCAATTGCCAGCACTTAGAAATCAGCCGTTTAACACACTCAGCCACCACCACTCATCTGAGTCAGACGACTGGTAGTCTAGATCACGTACATCTCTGACAAGTGTAAATTAGCACGGCTCCCATGACCGAAAACTATGAAAACACAATGCCATTTTATTTGGGATTTCACTTTCTGCACAAACATATGTTACATTTGAACGCTTTCCTAATGGAATTCTGGAATTTATGTATTCATCGATCATATGATTCATATGGGGGTTACACTATGTACATAATAAATATAGTTGGGACAGAAAGAACATCATGCATTAAAATATGGGAAATAGATAGATTTTAGTTTATGCACATGATTAAATGTTTGATTATCCCTTTGTTACGTGTACATACTGTTTGATAACCTAAATGTCTGGAATTGCAGATTGCTCAGAGGGATTCAGGATGAATATACTCACCAATGCAATTTACACGATTCAACCAAGACCTTATGGAACGCCTTTTGAAGTCTACTGCTACATGAGGTTCGGTGGACGTACATTCGTCCAGAAGCAGTCGTCCGGCATCAACTTTGCCAGGAACTGGCAGGATTACACAGACGGGTTCGGAACGCCCGGGGCAGATCACTGGTTGGGTTTGGAGAAAATAAAAGCCATTAGTGATAAAACTCCGAGCAAATTCGTTATTCGGTTTGCATATAAAGATATTCCAACATGGAGACAGATCATTTGCCACAATTTTAGTCTATCGGATGCTGTGAGTGGTTTTAGGATTAATTTCACTAGCACCTCAACCTCTGAGACAGCTAAGAATGGATTCAACGACGTCATGACGGCTCTGAGAGGAGCCAGGTTCAGCACCTACGATAGGGACAATGATGAAAACGTAGCTAAAAGCTGCTCTCAGACACATCAATCTGGTTGGTGGTTCAGAGACTGTACTCTGTGTAACCCTAACGGTAAACTGAAAAAGGCCACTGATCTGGATGGCATTTTCTGGGAAGGCGATACAAGGAGTGTGAAAGAGACAGCTATTTATCTAGGTGGATATGTGAGTGAGTGAGTTTTACGCCGCTTCAAACAATATTCCAGCAATATCACGGCTGGGGACACCAGAAATGGGCTTCACACATTGTACCCATGCGTGATGAGCGAACGCTTTAACCACTAGGCTACCCCACCGCCCCAGCTGGATGTGGAAACTAATATCACTACATTCTCCAAAATGTTCCCACGTTTCGTTTTAAAGCTGTACGTTTTCTGTCACCAATTTCACGAATTGCCTGAAAGACTGCCAAGACTGCCAACGATTAAGCAATATTTACGTTGCTTTTACGAATAATCCACTGGGCAACATCGCAACCGAAGGTACCAGAATTGTGCTACTGGCAGTTCACACGTCTGGTATAGGGAATCGAACCCGGACCTTTTACATCTAAAAACTGTTATAAAAGCCACTTATTATTCATAGACTTCTAAAATGTCAGTCAAACAACACACTGTCGTTGTCTAAAAGGTTTATATTATATGTGGACCGCCTCCGTGGTGTAGTGGTTAGAGCATCCGCCCGGAGAGCGGAAAGTCGCGGGTTCGATCCCCGACCGCGTCATACCAAGAGACGTTAAAATATGGTACTTGTTGGTCCCTGCCTGGCGCTCGGCATTAATTGGTACAACAAGGACTGGTCGGCTCGGAGTCAGTATAATGTGTGTCAGTGGGGATTCATGCTTCACTGCGGCATGGTATCTCGGTGGGCTAGCACTAAAACCAGCTTAAGTCTGGGCTAGTACAAGCAGCCGTACATACACATACACACGCATGCACGTCGTCATATGAGCGAAATATTCTCAAACACGACGTAAAACCAAATTTCACCTCACCTTATATTATATGTGATATTGTTTTTATTAACAATGTTGTTTTGTATTGCATCGTTTTCGTTGAAATATATATTAGGCACACTGTGTTTAAACAATAATTGGTTGTTAGAAATATATTACTGTCAATGTACGCAGTGGTATGTAAGTACATATATGTGTATGCTTTTGGTATCTTCTATTACAGCCGTAGGCTATTCGAACGTGGTATAGAACACTCTAGATGGCAATTAGACAATATAATGGTGCCAGCACATGCCTCGCTCATCTCAGATTATGACACTATATTTTCAGCCTTGATATCCAGCCAAGGCCTGTTTTGCAAGCTGCACCACTGTTATTGATCTGTGAATATTATTACAGCTGAATTCAGTGGATTTCTATTGCCACTGTTATTGTATTACGTACTGGTATTGTCATTTTACATGACTGTTTAGTAAATTGTATGGGGGTACCATGAAGTTGTTAATGGTATAACATTTCTTTGTTATTTGTTGCCTTCATCTCAGCACATAACTGTTGACCCTAAACGTGTGGAACATGAATAAGTACCTCCTCACATAATGAGTAAAACGCATTTGTAAAGAATAAAGTGTCTATCTTATATTAGTGACGTAAGCATTAGCGCACTTTGTGCGATTGACGACAAACAGTCGCAAGACATTACATAATATGTTAGTATTTCAAGTCGTTACGGCATCCCCAGAAGAAAACTTCGTGAACGATAGAAACTTTATGAAGCTGGATTCCTTCTATTCAATAAATGCTTTGTATGCTTTCAGTATGATTTATAAATATAACATGTATAACTGAATTGGTCTAGTTCAATTCAAAATGGCAGCAAATCTATGTTTTATTCTTACTTCAAAATTTCATTGTCCAGGGAATTGTATTTAAATGTGATTAATAAGTAGCACTCGCTCAATTTAGATGTTTTTCACATCAGTTACGTATAGAAACTGGAAGGTATTTATAATAGATAGAAATGATAGATTATGTTTACAGTGCTATGAAGGTTATATTGAGGATGAATACCATCTTCTCCTCGTGTGTTCCAAATTCCAACAGCTCCGCTTGAACCATTTACCTAAAACCTATTGTATCAATCTAAGTAAAGCCAAATTCAAACTCCTCATGTCATCATCAGATTGTAAACTTATAAATAACTTAGCTAGCTTTATCTATCATGCAATGTATCTAAGATTTTAAACATTATCAATCTATACTGTACAAGCCATGTTTTAACATGTAAATGTAACCTATGTAGTTATGGGCCGATGGCCTACACTTCTGTAATAAAGAATTGAGAACATGTACACACTTTGAAAGTAACATTCTACAGAGTTGTATATTCGATACTTATACCGATGTTATATTGGGGATTAAACTTTATCCGTAAAGTACAGATTGTAATACTTTTATTGGGTCGATGCACTTAATAGCCCCAGCACACACTTCAGCGATCTAGCCCACTGAGCCACGGAATGGACGTCTGACAACTGGTTACATGACACGTTTTATGGATAGCAACTTCTTTTTTTTATTGAACAACGTCAATAGTTCTATGGATATAAATCTTCTTTTTTCATCAACACCGCTAACATCGTTATCAAGCAAGTGAGTTTCAATACTGCAGGAAAGGCTTATAATATCCACACACCTGTCCTCGTTGTTCATCACACCAACTTATAAGTGCCACTCAAAGAATTCGCGAAGTTGTTCTTTAAATGTATGTTCCTTATCTCGATGTTTCAGAGCTAAATATTGTATGGAATAGCTCTGAAGCGTCGTATAAAGAATGAAACCAGCTGTCTCCATAAACGTGTCATGTAATCGTGTTCGTCTAACTTGTAAATGCCTTCGAAGAACTTGACAACTAGTTATCAAGATCACTTATTTAGTGTACCACTCTGACAAGTGTAAATGGGCACGGTCGAAAGAAAACAGTGTGATTGAGAAGGTGCTCAATCGTAACATGTGTAATATTTGGAATTACATTTTCTCAGTAAAGTACAAATTCTAGTACATTTAGAGGACTCGCGCCCACGCTCAGAAATACTAGAATCTGCACTCAGGAACAGGTCTTCCTTTAGCCCAACACGTCCCTTACATCACCCAGGCGGGTGGTAGACAGAAGGGCCCAATACCAGAAACAGGTCTTCCTTTAGCCAAACACGTCCGTTAAACGTCACCCAAGCGGGTGGTAGACAGAATGGGCCCAGTGTCAGGAACAGGTCTTCCTTTAGTCAAACACGTCCCTTACTTCACCCAGGCGGGTGGTAGACAGAATGGGCCCAATACCAGAAACAGGTTTTCCTTTAGCCCAACAATTCCCTTAAACTTCACCCAGGCGAGTGGTAGACAAAAATGGCCCAATACCAGAGACAGGTCTTCCTTTAGCCCAACAATTCCCTTAAACGTCACCGAGGCGGGTGGTAGACAGAATGGGCCCAAAACCAGAAATAGGTCTTCCTTTAGCCCAACAATTCCCTTAAACTTCACCCAGGCGGGTGGTAGACAGAATGGGCCCAATACCAGAAATAGGTCTCCCTTTAGCCAATCACGTCCCTTACTTCACCCAGGCTGGTGGTAGACAGAATGGGCCCAATACCAGAAACAGGTCTTCCTTTAGCCAATCACGTCCCTTACGTCACCCAGGCGGGTGGTAGGCAGAGTGGACCCAATACCAGAAACAGGTCTTCCTTTAGCCAATCACGTCCCTTACGTCACCCAGGCGGGTGGTAGGCAGAGTGGACCCAGTGTCAGGAACAGGTCTTCCTTTAGCCCAACATGTCCCTTTCTTCACCAAGGGGCCTAATACCGAAAACATGTTGATCGCTTTGTCCCGGTGCATGGGCAACATGGTTGTCAAACAATGTTATAGCAACGGTTTGAACGTGAAATATTCTACTATTCAATATCATGCTATGATTAAGACCGGTCACATGTGTCTGTGGCTCCTGGGCCAATCTGGCATAATTGGCCTCCCTTTCAGCCAACTGTCATGTGCGAACACTGTCTGGATGGTTGAATGGAGAGGCAACCATGTGTACACATATGTCATACCTTAAAGTAACTAGATTTCAAATTGGTCGGCTCTTGAATGGATAAAACTAACTTATTGGTTGGACTACCTTTTCGCATCATGTGTATACTGGCTACATAAAGAAACTGTGCACACAGAAAATGCCTTCAGAATTGGAATACAGCACAACAAAGACGAAATGATATAGACACTTTATAAGCTGAAGTATCGGACCACAAGAAAATGTCAAAAGAACTTTAACAATGTCCGTAACGATGACGTCAGAAGTTCAAATCGAGTAGGGGGGTCCCACGACGAAGTCAGAAAGTCAATAACGGGTATGACCACCGTGTGCGTGAAGCACAGCAGTTCATCGAAGACGCATAGAGGCTACCAAATGAGCAATGAAGGCCTGGGGAATGGTCTGGGAGTTGGTCACTGCTGTCTGGAACCTGTGTCTGATAGGAGTCACCCGAATCCATCTGTCCTGTCTTGGCGTCGTTACTCGGGGACGCCCAGAACGTGGGTGGTCGGCAACAGCATTACTGTTTCCCTAACGCCTGACCAATGCAGATATCGTGTTACGATGGCATTGGAAATGTGCTGCCTCCTGTTGTTGGCTCATGCCTGCTCGAACCATTCCAATGGCTTCATGACGTTGAGCAGATGTTAATCTTGGCATGATGTCCATGTGACTTCTCATGTGAATTGGTGCACGTTTGAATGACCAAAGATCAAGCTTTCGACAGTGACATCAATTTCAGAGTTTCACATGTTGTGTGCAGCTGTACGGGCTGCAGGTGCAGTAACACATTGTCAATGACGTCACGTCACCTGGCACGTGCATGAGCGTTTGATTGTCTCCAATACTTGCTATGTTCACAAATGTATTTATGTATAAAGACGCTGTGTGCCTATATTTATATTTTCTGTGTGCACAGTTTCTTTATGTGGCCAGTATATAACTCACAGTTAATTTGCTGGTTCTGCTTCACAAATGGAAAGGCAGATTGGTAAGGTAGAACAGAGAACGGTATTGACACATGCACATATTCCATAACGAAAGGGCGTCACTCCATTTGATGATGGTGATTCTGGTATATGTTAGCCTACTGCTACTGCATTCCTCAAACCTCAATGAAATTCCTAAAGAACCCCTAGACTAAGGCATGTCAATAATCGTAAGAATCAAGCATAATTTAATCAATCTAACTGGAATGAGTGTTTACATAGTATATGTCAACAGACACTGCCGTGTTTGCCTCAAAGGGATACTATAAAACCGCGTCTTCCTTGGTTACTGACTGACTGACTGACCAAGAAGCTATTCCATGTTCGCTCAAGCAGTTTCCAACGACTAACACGCTGCTTTATAATTAATTGTGTTTTGGCACACTGTCTGGAAATATCCAAACGGAGAGACAGAAAGCATTGCTTCCACTCCCAGCTGCGATCCAGTGTCTAATGCACCAAAACGCTCTTTCCTTTGTGGTTATCTATTGAACCGTGACTGACATTGTCATGGCACTGTTCCCGATTCATTACCGTCTTGAGATCTTCTATACATAATACAAAAGTGAACACAAACGTGGCTGGCCTTTACTTTCATAAGCGTCACCGCGAGTTGGCATATACATTGTCAAATCTGTTTATCCATTCATCTGTGTTGTGCACGCGTGAGTCATGTCTCATAGAACGAACTGGCTCATTATTATACACTCTAACAAAAAGGAAAAAAGAAACGCATAAGTCACTTTTAGAAGAATTTATTGCTGTAGTTTAAGAGCAATTATTTCATGTAATTCCAATGGCAAAAAGGTGAAAATTCACTCGTCAATAGACAAAGAGTTCACCAACAAAATAGCGGAATTTACTGGGGGGAAAAACATCATGTGTTGGCCAATTTCCGGGTGTTATTGAGTATTTGAAGCACGTGAATCCGGCGTCAGCCGGAGGTTTCAAATGAAATATTCCCGTGCTTCAAATACTCAATAACACCCGGAAATTGGCCAACACATGATGTTTATCGACATTGTAAACACAAAAGTAAACTAAATGTCTACACACGTTTATGTGTCTGCACTCATTGACATCGAGTACGGGTACAGCAGTGAAATGTCATCATCCGGCCGTTTCGGCTGTCTCCCAAGGTAGCATCTGGAACTGTT